GTGTGTGCCTTGCGTGAGGAAGAGAGAAAGAAAAGAGAAAACACTTTATTATTTTCTTTAGAGAGAGCTCTTGATTTTCCGGCCAATTTTTCCGGCCATCCCCTTTATAGTTTTTGGTCGTCAACGTTCCTACGTTGTTCTTGTTCGTTGGTGTGTGGTTGGTCCGTACAATCTCCACACACGATAGCGGTTTTATCCTGGGAGGAGAGTGCCCACGTTTTCCGGTACGGTAGGCGGGCACTACTACCTTAAGGACAGCTCCGGCGACTCCGCTGTCCTTCCACGGTGTTGTGTTTTGCAGGTTCAGTTCATAAAGACCTCGCTGCATTCTGTCCTAGTGCATAATGTCCTCGCAGCCCAGTGCATAATGTCCTCGCAGCCCTGTGCATAACGTCCTTGAATCGCTGTCCAGTGTTTAAAGACCTCACTGTCCAGTGCTTAAAGACCTCGCTGTCCAGTGCTTAAAGACCTCGCCGTCCAGTGCTTAACGTCCTCGCTGTCCAGTCCTTAATGCCCTTGTACAGCAAGGCTGTTTGAAGATATAGCAATTTATTTTCAGCTTTGTTTATTTTGTAATATTCTGAATAAATTATAAATTCAGAATTTTATTTATTTTTATTTTCCGGGGCCGTTCATCTTCCCCGTCCGTTGTAATTCGTACGAGAGTTGTAACACAGAGGACCCAAATCTTCATTAGCATTGTCTTCACAAATTTGAAATCTTCTTGATGAAGACTGACAAACCTACACATTTCACCACACAAAAACCCAATAATTTGGTCAAGCCTAGTCTGATGATGCTCTGAGAGGAATGGCCTAAGATGATTTATAAACAACATCTCTGCACTGTCAATACATGGAATTCGAAACCAAACAAGAAATGTGAACTTCACCTGATAGTATAGTGGAAACCAGTGGAGAAGCTTATTTGTGAACAATTGTACCATGCTAAAATATCCATAAGTTGCACAGTACATAAGCCATCTTTGTTGCTCATCTTGATCCCTTCATTCATTTTTTTTTTTTTGAAGAAATCCCTTCATTCATTTGATTCAAATGTATTAAAAAACATGTAAAATAACACTCACTGAACAACTTCCTGTTCGGATTACAATGTTAGATTCAATAGGACGAATAAGTTCCCGCAGCCCAACCTCCATCATGTACAAACAGAAAAGAGCTGCTTCTTCTTCTTCCTTATGATGTTGAGGCGAAGGCCGTTATCATTCCCCAAAAAAATTGGAGCTCTCTTCCTTCTCTTCTTCTCTGCAAAAAGAGAGTAGTGAAACCCGTCCCAAGCTCCGGCATACTTGTCACACCTGTTCCCAGCTCCCACCTAATAATAGTAATTAAAATACAAAATATTTATCGAGTACTAGATATATATTAAAAGTCAAATATTAAGAACAATCATATACTGAGAATAATATATATTTCTATATGGTCTTCATAATTCCACAAAACAAAAGGTTCATTATAAAATATAAGAGTACTCAAATGGAGATTAAAAAACTAAACATGTTTTTACAAAAGCAAAGATTAAAAAAACTTCAAAAATGATGTTTTATCTTTATCGCGAATTCAACTCAGCTCAAGCACATCAAGTCACCTTGTCTTTCCCATCGTGATTGTGGTTATCAACTGAAGAGGTGGGAAATCAACCATATTTGGTATATTAAGCCTTGATCTGCCATTTGAAACATTAAATACTAATGTATTGAAACAAATGAGACATTAAACCTCAATGTTATTCCTAAAAATCCAAACAATGTAATTGAACGTGCACTGAACCAATATTTTCTATATGAAAAAATCTGAAAAAACAATGAACCTCACTAAAGTAAACCTCAAACACTGAATAATGTAATTTACATTTTCAAATATAACATGCAGTTTTATATATATACATTTTCAAATTGAACAGAGATCATTCGACCTAGATATAGACTATAGTTTAATTACATTAATAAGAATCAGATGAAATAATAACAAACAATGTGATATGCTAGAGCGGAGTGCTATGCTCTAAGCTAAGCTCTACCGGTCCATAGTCAGACCACCTATGTTGTATGGATCGGAGTGCTGGGCGGTTAAGAAAACCCACGTTTATTAGCTTCATGTTGCAGATGTGCGGATTTTACACTAGATGTGTGGGGGTGTGGGCACTAGATATGTGGGCAGATGAGGTTGGATAGGATCTTGAATGAGGTTATCCGAAAATAACCTGCTGAAAGCGAGGTTGAGGTGGTTTGGGCATATGAAGCGGCGGAATGCTGACGTCCAATGTGGAGATGCGAGAGGCTTACGTTGGTGCATGGGAGCAGGGAAAGGGGTAGACTTAGGAAGAATTGAAAGGAAGTGTTAGACAACAATTACGACTTATTGCCCTTAATGAGGACATGACCGTAGATATGAGTGTTTAAAAAGCCAAGATTAGAATAGTTGGGTAGGCGCCTTGGGCTAGGAGTAGTTCCATGTACTCGTTGTTATAAATTTGTGTGCCTTGTATACTTCGTGCTCTATGATTGCTTTACTTTTCTTTCGATTAACTCTAGTTTGTTCTTTGCCTCTGTGTGTCTTGTACTCTATCAGTTTATCCATGCTTTGCTTTATGTATCTCTTGTGATCTTTTTTCATGTGCAGCTTGAGACGAGGGTCTCTTGGAAAGAGCCTCTCTACTTTCGAGTAGGGACGAGGTCTGCATACGCGAACCCTCTCCAAACCCTACTTTGTGGGATCTGTGATATGCTCTATGTTCAATACTTCATATGAAGAAATTAGGAATTGAGAAAAGAACCAATTCTTTAATAAGGTGTTCCTAATTGTTTTGAGTTAAAAAGAATTTGTTCAAAATAGTGTACAAAAATATTATAACCCCAACGCTATGTTTGGTTCAAGGAAGTTGAAAAGGAAAAGATAAGAAATTAAGATAGAAACTCATAAAGGAAATTAAGACCTAAGCAGACCAAAAAAAGAAGGGCAACTACTAACACATCAAGGAAATACATTATATGCCAACCCCACATAGCACTATCCACTTCCCTCTCGGTCCCATATGCCATACTTAAGTCCAAAAGTCTGCCAATTCTAAAATGAAAATCTGTAAGGCCTCGTTTGGTACACGGAATTCAAATTATGGAATTGGAATTGAAAGCTTCAATTCCAATTCTGATGTTTGGTAGCCCAAAACTTATGTAGATTTGGAATTGATAGTGCAAAAAATGAATTGTAATTGGCAGAATTCAATTCTATGGAATTAAATCTCATGGAATTTCAATTCCAATTCAATTCCAATTCCATCAATTGCTTATACCAGACGCACCCTAAGGGTTTGTTTGATACATGGAATTGAAGGAATTGGAATTAAATTGGGAGTTGAAATTTATGGAATTGATTTGGATGGAATTGAGTTCTCCAACTCCAATTCATTTTTGGCACTACAAATTCCAAATCCACATATTTTTGTGCTACCAAACAGCGAAATTGGAATTGTTACCCCCAATTCCAATTCCATAGTCTGAATTATGTATACCAAACGGACCCTAAACTAAGTTCACAAGAAGAAAACTTGCAACACAATGTAACTTACATCCATGATAATAGTTTTTCAGCGATGCAATGGCAAATATATAACACCCACAAGAAATCCACCGCAAAAACTAGCGATTGAAACAAAATCTAAACTAGAAATTTCTAAAAAAAAAACTGAATTTGTTAACAAAATTATATCACGTACTTGGAGAGAGAGGAGATGAAGATTTGGAGGCTTGGGAGTTGAAGGAGACGGCGTAGGCACAATGAACTCAAACTGGTGACTTGGTCCTGCTTGTAATTAGGGTTGTAAATGAATCGAATATTTTTTGTTCGATTCGTGATTCGTATTCGTATGAGGTGATTCGTATTTGATTTTTTCAAATCTGAATACGAATACGAATCTGAATAAATATTCGAATCCTTAGCGAATATGAATATGAATCAAGGGTATTCGATTCGTGAGTTTGACAAATATATTCGGAATATAAATTTAATTATACAAATTATATATATGTATATATATATATATATGTATGTATGTATGTATGTATGTATATGTATGTATATATATATATATATGTATATGTATATATATATATATACATATATATATATATACATATACATACATACATACATACATATATATATATATACATACATACATACATACATACATATACATACATACATACATACATATATATATATATATATATATATATATAGAGTTTGGTTCCGGTGAGAAAGGGATCTAATGAAAGAAATAAGAATGTCTTATAGCCATTAGATCTTGATCCATCAAGATGATTTTTATGATTTACATACGGGGCATTTTGGGATTTTTGCTTCTTAGTAGTACCTTTCCTATTATGTCTCCTTAAAATTTGCGCAGGATCCCCACACTTTTTGGCTTCGTTTCTTCATCTGCAAAGCAATTCTCTTTTTTTCTTCATCAAAGGCCAAACTTTGCAGCAGAAATTGAGGTTTGTTCTCCTAATTTTGTTCTCCTAATTTCTTTTTCAAATTCTTGATCAATTCATCATCAACCCATGTTTCTTTTTAATTTTATGGCTTTTCTTGAGGTGGTGCAAAATTTCTCCGAGGTTTGAGATCGGAAAAACACTTCCAAAGATATGAGATTTTATGTGATTTTTTTGTTGGTTTCCTTTCGTGGTTGTTTTTTTGTGTTGTTGTTAGTCTATTTGCTCAATTTTGGTTCTAGGCACTATGATGAATACAAGGTGTTTGATAAAATGTCTTAAAGAATCAAATGAACAAAATTGGTGGTGAGGACAGACCTAATGCAGTCGAGGGATCTCTTAATGCCTCAAAACAACCTCAATATGCATTTCCATTAACTGATTTTGGACACAATCGGATGTCTCACACAAGGTTATGCATTCTTGTCGTGAATAATTTTGAAAACAATCTTTTGTTTGTTTCTTTATTTATTCTAATATTTAAGTTATGTGTATTTTTTTATGAATATATACCAACTCTTGAATCAATGTTTTTGTTGCTTCACTTGTACTCAAATTTTTAGGTTCTATGCATTCTCATAGTCAAGGTAATGCATTTTTACTTCACAGTGTTTGCAAAGAAAATGTGAGGCTTTGTTTCTGTTAATGTAAATTTTTGTATTGCTTTTAGCACATTAAAATTACATTGCATTTTAAGAGCTGTAGTAAAACTCAAATATCGATTCATGGAGTAAGATACTTCAAAATGCATATATTGTACACTCTAGCTATGCATCACAGAGAATTTAAAGTGTATCGTAACATGTTTTCCATTGTTAGGGTTGTTAATTAAAGTTTAATGAATAATGAGTATGTGTTTGTGCTATTGTGCATTACAGGAATGCATGTAATGTACTTACATGATAACACAATGCATTCTTAGAAACAAGGAAAAGGATTATGCATTCTGTTAATACAAACTTTTAGAATCAAAGTAAAATTAATTTATGAGATAGTGAAATTCTCCTAGTAATAATATGTTTAAAATATTTTGTGATACACTTGAATATGGGTTAGAAACAGTTTGAATGTTGTAATTTTTAAAAGATAAAAAATTCTTATTTAATAAGTCTAGATTCATCCATTTTCTTTTATCGTTTTTACCTTTGAATTGTTTGTTTTTTAATGATATGTGCATCATCAGAATCACGGTAATGCAGTTTTATGAAAAGGCAATACATTATCATTATTAAGATAAATGAATGCATTCTGTTGTACATTTTAATAATCAAAGTTGATGCATCTGATATCGAAATTCTCTTGACCCAAGTATGATGCACTTATATGTTCTACAAAGTAATTTTTTTTATAAATGACGATGCTATAAAGTGTTCTCTGTTAAATTTGAATAAAAAGTTTGAAACAGGTTGAATGGTGCAAATTTTAAAAGATAAAACTACATTTCAATAGGTCCGAGTGCAAGATTAGAGTCTCTTTGAAAAAATAAAGTGTTGCCTATTAGCTCAAAGGATAGAGCGGTATATACTACGGATGTGGGTTCGAATCCCGCATAGGCAAATTATTTTCTAAAATTTTTATTACACTTGTTCTAAATACAGAGTACAATGCATTCTCAAAGTTTCTCAACACATACATACAAAGTCAATCACGAGTCAATATTCACTAATCCACAACAATAAGTCAACAATGCATGCATAATTTACAGGATATATTGCAATTATATAGGAGAATGGTGCATAGAGAAGAAATTATCACGTGAGGAAAAATTTATTGATACAATTTTTTTAAAAAAAGTGATAAAAATTAAAAAAAATAGGTGATTAAATATGCAAAAGAAAAGTTGTAGACCACATAATAATTTCTTTCAGAAAAATTTAATGCAAATAAAAGAATTTCTTGCACCGTGAGAAATGTATTAAAATAAAGCAAAAAAGAAATAAAATATTACAAAGAGTTTAATAGCAAAAATTAGTCACAATTGTTTTTTATAAAAGAAAAATGGTTAACAAATTTAAAAAAATGAGAAAAAAAAAAGAAATTGTAACATAACTATCCATTAATACGGCTAAAAGGGAAAAAAAAGAGAAAAATCATCAAAAGTGGAACTCCAATTGCGGCTGAAAAAGTGGAACCCCATGTTTACGTTTTTTATGTGTACAATAATGCCCCTACACAATTATTTTATTCCTAAATTGATGCTATTTACCATATTAATCAAGCAATGACGCTAGTTTTAAGATCAATTTTGGGCCCTTAGTTTTGCAATATCAATGTATATCATTTATTCTTATTTCTTTCCCCAAGTATCCTTCTCACAGGAACCAACCCCTATATATATATATATATATATATATATATATATATATATATATATATATATATATATATATATATATGTGTNAGGAACCAACCCCTATATATATATATATATATATATATATATACACACATATATATATATACATATATATATATATACATATATATATATAGATATATACATACATACATACATACATATATATATATATACACACACACACACACATAATAGGTAATAAATAGATTAAATGGTTATAAAATATCTTAAAATCTAAATGATTCGAATATTTTTAAATGAACCGAATATATTTAAATGAATCGAATTTTTAAATGAACCGAATATGTTTAATATATTAAACGAACCGCATATGAATCTTAAAAAAAATTCGAACCGAATTCGAATATCACTTTATTTTAACGAATACGAATATTATTCATGTATATTCGATTCGGTTCGTTTACAACTCTACTTGTAATTGTGAGTCAAGGGTTCACTGGTTAAACCGGTCAACCCGTGCAGTAGCGACCCGGTCAAACCTTCTAAAAATGGGTCACATTTAACTGAACCTCAATCCGACCTCACCCCGACCTGCTAATAAAAGAGTTTTTCAAAATTATGTATTTTAATATGAAAAATAATGTAATAAAAATAAGATTATATTTTTTTTTC